TCTTCTTCGCTATCATAAAGATAGCTAAAATCAAAATCAGATGTCTCATTTATTTCAACATCAATATCTCTTAAAAAATGAATATAGTCAAATATAAGATCCTTCAGATCTTTTGAAAAATTATTATATAGAATAGGAGGTTTGTACATTCTTAACAAATTAACTGAATAGAAAATATCATCTATTTGGGAATATATAGTTCTAAGACGATCTTTTTTCAGTATTCCATTATATGATGGAACATTATTAAATCGTTCAATCCAAACATTAAAACAAAATTTATATAATTTTATAAGTGCTCTAAATCCTTCCGAACGCCAGGTATGATTGACTGCTAGAATAGAGAATAGATCCTCTCATTAGAAAAATGAAAAAGTATATTTTCCAAAATTTCAGATATTAATAAAGCACGTGTTGCAAGAGAATTGTTAGAGATAGATACAAAGTGTTTAACATTAATTTCCACATTCATAATTTATTTAGTTCGATTAAACTTGAATAGAAATATAAATAAGTGTTTAATAAATTTTATTATGAAATAATGATACTCATGTACCTCTGAACTAAAGAGGATATTAAGCAGTTTTATGCTCGCCAGCTAAGCAAGAATACAATATAGATTTTAGACGTTTAAAGAACAGTTTAAGCCCAAATGACTATACAAATAATTAATATAAATTTTAAGGGTTTAAGCGTTTTTTTTAATTAAGGAAGTAAATTATATTTCTTAAATTTTAAAACACTCTACTCTGTCAATGAAGCAAATTATATTTTTAAGTTTTAAATCGTTCCACTCTATCAAGGAAGCAAATTATAGTTCTTAAGTTTTAAATCGCTTCGCTTTATCAAGAAAACAAATTACTGCTCTTGGGCTTCTAGAGGCCGGTTTAAAAATGAAAAAAACACCTTTTCTAGAGCGCGTTCCTGGGTATCGATTTCTGATATATATCAAAAATTGTTATCGATTTTAGTAATTTTAGCTCAAAAAACACCTGTACTAAAAGGTGTGAAAAAAAGGTAAAAAAATAGATCTACATAAAAAAAGTCTGTTCGCGCTCCCTGCTGCTATTAGAGACTTTTAACAATATTATGAAACATTTGAATTTGATCTACTTGTAAATGCTCAAACTAGAGTAAGAATTTATAAACTTTTTGAGACTTGTTTAAAAGGTAATATAAAAGATTGGTATGAGACTAATGTTAAAAATAATAATTGGAAACTGCAAAATATTAGTAACAATACCAATTTGGCTAATCTTAATGCTATCAATAGATTGGCTAACAATAATACATTGTATAATATTAATACTAATCAATTTAAAGGTAAAACTTTTCAAATAAGAAATATAGTTTTAGCTGATAATAATCCAATTGTCATACCATTAGTACCCGCACATACTGTTTTTGATAAAGATTGACTAATATCTGGTGAACAGCTAACAAATTTAGCTTCCAATACTTCCAATACTAATACAGAAGATAATACTATTGCTTCTAGTATTCGTATTGGCCAAGTAATATATTGGCTCAGAACTAATTATTCAATAATTACTGTTGAAAAATCAAAAGTTATGTTTAATAATATTTCTCAAGGAATTGATCCTATAGGCTGATTCTATATGCAATTAAAAAGAATAGTTATACTTGCTTATCTAGTATTTCTAGTATTAAATTGAAAAAAAATGGTTAAACAGCAATTTTTTTAAGGTTTCTCTCCTGATAATAAATTAGAAATAAGATGTATTGGTTTTAAAAATTCAACTTTCACTTTATTACCAAAATCAGAACAAATTGAAAGACAAAAAGCTGAATTAATGTTAAGACAATATAATCCCAATTCTTATCCAGTTACCTCTTGTTTACATTCTAAAGTTAATACAAAAGATTCTTATATAACAAGTAACATAAGTTTAACTGAAACTGAAATTAGAAACTTGATAAAATCTGAAATGGTATCTTTCCAATTTCAACCTGTTTCTATATAACCAGTTTCTCAACTACAGGCTGGAAAATTAATATGATCTAATCAAATAGAACCAGATAAAATATATAGAGATCCAAATTTACACCTGAATAATCAAGAATAACTTGAAATGAATAATGCATTAAATTGGTTTAGTGCTACAGCAAGTTTATCTACTTTACAATCATTAATGGATACAATTACTAAAAAAATAATTGATAAATTTTCTTCCTTATTGTCAAAAAATAATGAAGGAAATGGTTCAAAGTTAACTTTGATAAGGAACTAGCTAATTTTAAATATTTTTTCTTATAAATATTTTTGATACAAACATAGGTCAAATATAAAAGATATGTTATACTGAAAAAGAATTCCTAATTTTAGCAGATTTGTAATATAGGATACAATAGAACAGTTGATTGTTATCAATTTTTAATTAATTTATAGTATAGGAATTATCATTTGGTATAGTAATTCTTTTATATTTGACTAGTGAAAGGTTTTATAATATTAAATACATTAGATTATATGTTGAATTATATAAAAATTAAAAAAAATAAGTAAACAAGATAAAGTATAAATTAAAGAGCCTGTTAAATATCACTTTAATGTTTTTATTAAAATTATAATTAAAATTTTAAAATTTTAAAATAAACAAATGTTATTATTATATTATTACTGAATCCGATACTTAATGTAAGTTCCTAATTGAGTTAGGCTACTGGTAATAATTTTAAAAATAGATGTGAGATTTGATTCACAAATTCACAAAGAAATATAATAATATGTAAGTATTGTCAAGTATGGTACAAAATTTCCTTGAGATATTGGAACAAATCTCTGTCTACTTTAGATAAAAGAAGTCAATATCTGTAGGAATTAGAAGTAGTCTCTTAAAAAATATTTAAACCTTACACTAGTAAAGAAAGGTCAAGTTCAATTTCCTGAATGTAAGTTGGTGTACCTTCCTGCTGTAGTATACTGTGTTGCCTGTTAGCTGGTTCCTTTCATACAATGGCTGTTAAAGAAATAAGGAGAACTGATGGTGTAAGATTGGACTAGTAGTTCTTAAAAATCAATAAGAATGGATGGCTGAGATATCTCTCAGTGGATATTTTTTTAATATTTTGAGTTTTTGGTTGTTTGTTTATATTTGCTTACTAACTTTGTTTACACTTATATGCTTTGTTTGTTTTGTTTTTTTTTTGCTTTATTATTTTACTCAATTGTACACTTATTTGTACTAGAATTAGAATTGATTATATGTATGGAGTCAGGTATTTTTCATTTATGATCTGTTGTGTTTCTTTCTTTCTCATTTTATTTTAATTGTAATTGTTTGTGCTATACTAATTCTCATTATTTGGTTTTAATTATTTCTATTAGTCTTGATAGTTTACTGTTTGTTCTTTTTTTCCTTGTAGAACGAAGTACAATTCCAGTGAACGTTGGATAAAAATGGATAAATGATTGTTTTTACCTTTTCTTCGGGTTCCGGTACGTAATTATATATTTTTATTTGTTTTTTGATTTTTTCATATAGCAATAGTTATTAAGAATTTTTTTATTTTGTTGCTGATGTAATGAATAATGCGAACTTTTTTTTCAACGATGACCGAAACTATTTAATCTCGATGTAACCTTTTATTATTATTATTATTTAAATAAATTTATTTTTAACATTTTGAACCGGAATAAAATGAATGTAATTGTCTTTTTTCCTTGTTTTACTTGTTTAATATAATAGAAAATAAACAGTTTCTTAAATCCAAAAAATTGATACAAAAAAAAAAATAGGTAAAAATCCCTTACTTTACTTTTTAATTGTTGATTGATAGTTTTTTTTTTTACTATGAAATAAGATATTTCAAAAATATAAATACATTAATAGAACAAAATATTTTCGAAACTTTTACTACTGTATATTAAAAAAAAAGTTGGACATTTTTTTTGAAAAAAAAAACAGTATTATGGATTAATAAAATATTTGCTTTTTCTACTCTAGAATAATTTCATATTAAAAGAGAAGAAAAGGCAGCAAGTTAAATCAAAACGAGCCAAGTATTTAAACACTGTAAACTTGAACTTTAAAGCAAAACATGTGATATAAGAGATTAGAAAAGTTAATTAAAAAAATATTTATTAAAACAATTATTAGAAAAGTTCATCTATGATATTACTAATTCTATTTATTATTTATTCGTTAATATAAATTAGTTAAATTAGAATTAAATTATAATTTACATACATAAAAAAAAGAGATATTCATTATATATTTACTAATTACAAATAATAATAATAATAATCATTATTATTGTTATCTATAAAGCTTGATTTTGGAATGTTCCACAATATTCCGCATTACCCTCCATCTTCATAAAAATCATTTGACATACTTTAGTACCAGGATAAAGATCTAAAGTAAGGTTAGATGCATTAAATATTTCAAGTACGGTTTTGTTATCAATTCCGGGATGAATAAATGAAGCAGTTATGTGAACGGACAATCCTAATCTAGCAAATCTAGATCTTCCCTCTAAATAATAATAATATTTGGATATAAGAAAAAAAATAATATATGATGATTGAGAGAGAATAAAGTCATGGAAAAAAATTGTTTAATACTATTTTAACATTCTCAATTATTTACCTACTAAAGCACAAAGATCAGGAGGCAATCGAACTCTTTCATTAGTAATTCCTATTTGTGTTGAGATTTACAGTTAAATAAGGTTTTTTTTAAAATAATAATAATAATAATAATAGAAAATAATTAAAAACATTCTAACCTAAACACATTTTACCAGGATCCAAACGATAAGGTTTCCCATTTTCTACTTTGCACTAGAAACAAATGTAATTATTATTATATTTGAGAATAATGAAATGAACAATGAAATGAATGTAAAACTTACTATTTCAGAAAATTTTTGGTAGTCTTTGGCGCCAGCTTCGTTACTAATAGGTACTGACCCATTACGAGGGACAAAATATCTAAATTCTTCTCCTAGAGTTAAATCGATACTGTTATATCATACATTCAGATAAACTTTGAATTAATATTTATCAATTACGTGAAATTTTTTTTAAAAAAAAGAGAAAATTCATATTAACCTTGCGGTTCCTATGTTTTGTTGATCCAATGGTACGATAATAAGTTTTCTTTATAATGAAAAATATTATAAACATTAGAATTATTGAAATTAAAAAATTCTTTGAATAAAAAAGATAAAAGAAGCCATACTTTTCATCCAAATATCTCTTTATTTCTGTATACGAAAGTACACCCATTATATTATTGACAATAAAAAAGGAGAGGTTTAGGTAGGTTGAAATTCACTTTGAAAAAAAAAGCGACTAGGATTTTGCGCATTAAATAGAGACAGAAATAGAAAAATTCTATTGATGAAAGCTTTTACATACATTTAAAATTGGAAATTTAATATGTAACTAATAATAAATATGATTGCTATCTATGGATATCTATGGGAAGAAGAAAAGGAGTAGCATTATTGTTATTATTTAGCGTTGATCTTTTCGTTAAATTACGATCACTTGACTCAAAGATAATGTTTTGTTACTAACTTTGGAAAACTGTGTTTATTATTTTTCATAGGGGTTGTTACAATTTTTAATTAACAAATTACGTAAATAACGTGCAACACAATTAAGAACAATAATGATTTTGTTTCCGCTTTCGTTAACAAAAAAAGTTATATAAACTCAAATGTAAATAATAAATCATTAAAAAAAAAAAAAGGCCTTAATATCATTTATATTATTTAAAAATGATGTAAAAAAATAATTTATATCTAAAAAAATTTTATTAAAAATTTTATTCTATATAAAAAAATATCATTAATACTATTACAATCAGTTACAATCAGTTACAATCACGAAAGTTTTAAAAAATCTTAAATTAGAACAATCTTCTACAAAGTGGACAACTGGTAGAATTCGAACTACGGAACCACTATGAAAAAAAAATGGAATAAAATGAATTAAAAAAAAAAAATCTAAAATTCATGCAATATGCAAAATTCAAAATAATAAAATAATAATAATAATAATAAATATAAATAGAAAAAAAAAATCAATTTACCTTATAAAGACATGATGCATGAAATCGGTTTTTACAAGTGTGGCAATATTTTGAAGGTAAGGAACGATCATCAAGGCTGACAATTGAATAACAAATTGTACAATCATCAACCCCTTGAAATCGAAGTTTTATATTATTCTTGAATAAATTTAATGCCATATCCATATTACCATTCTGCAAAAAAATAAAAAATTAAATAAATAATATGATAAATACGATAAGTAACATTTAATAACATTTAATATAAATATTAGAAATACGATAAAAATAACGATGATTAATATAAATGATAAATACTTGAGAATTAACAACAGTTTGTACAGGTAATTTTGCCCATTTGAGATCCGTAACATTTGTTGTTCCCATCCTTTCAAGTGTTCCAAATTCAGCTTGACGTAATGGGAAATTATTTGGCATACGAATACTAAGTTCCATTATGTATTCATCTATATTATAAGATGCAATAATTTCGTTGGAACTACGAGCTACTCTAATTGAGAATTTCTCATCTTCTAATCGAGATTTAACATCTTCACTTTGAATCATATCAAGTTGATCCTGAATTATTATAGGACTAAAGTATTTCTCAGTGTAACTATGGATTATTCAAAAAAATGATTCAAAATGTGAAAAAATAATTTCTAATTAAGACAATCAATAATTTAACACTTAAATAACAATCAAACATAATTTACCTTTCCACGTTAACACTAATCTGACGTTTCTTACATTCTGACCACCAGGATCTCACTACTAAAGGAATATTTTCAAGTGCTTTGTAATATAAATTTGCACAAAGCAATGGAAATCCTATCTGAGTGCTTAGTTGAATTTCAAAGCCTAGAAAGAAAGAAAAAAAAAATCAAAATTTCTATTAATTTAATTCCACGAATATGAAGTGGCAAAATGCGATAATAAAATATTACTATTATTATAATGATATAAATTATATAAAATAAAATATTACTATTATTATAATATAAATTATATAAAATTATACCTTCAATATAAAATTCTCGTATATCCCATTTTGACAAATCATATGGTGCAGATGTACCAACAAGTCCTAATGTTTCGAATATATGATCAAATAATTTTGATGTTATATCTAATTCTTTAAGATGTGAAGTAATTTGTGACTTGTAGTTGAATGTCTATTAGATGAATGAAAGAGAGAGTTATATATACAAATAGATAAAAAAATAAATAAATGAATAAAGAATGAAATCATTTCTAAAAATATTTGATCAATTTAATCTACTTACAATATTTTCAAATTGATCAAATACAAGTCTCCATACAAGTAAATATCCAAATGTCTTATGAGCATCCTAAAGGAAAAAAGGGATAAAGCGATTAATAGTTAAAAAAAAAATTTTTATTTTTTTTAAATATCTTATGAAAGGATAGACAAATTTACATCAGTTAAATTGGAAACATTATTCGCATCCGTTATCACTGAAAGTAATCCATTATCAAGTTGAACAATTACGGATTCAACTAATTTGAAATAACAGAACAGGTGATTAATAATAATAATAATAAAATTATTTATGTAATAGATAAAAAATATATTAATTATCTCTACCTGAAAATTCTATTTGTTCTGAAAGTTCTAATGCCTTTTTCATAATTACAACGTGTAATAGTTTATAGGCACACTTTTGAATTCCTTCATGCGGAACTAATAACAATGGATAGATCTAAAGAAAAAAAAATTAATTAAAAAAAAAAAATATTAAAAAATACATAGATTAAAAAAAATTTTTCTTAAATAAATAAATATATTAATTAATAACCTCGTCTTTTTTTTCAACCAAAAGGGATGTTGGCAAATGATGACAGGCTGATGATAAAATGTCTAAATATTCCAAATATTGTTCTGATAAAAGTTTGTATCTATTAACTACAAAAAATTAAAAAAAAAAATTATATATATAAATTTATTTAAAAATTTATTATTTTCAAATAAATCAATCTCGTGTAATAAATCAAATAAATAGAATGCTAAAAAAATGGATGCACCTTTTTCTTGAAATAGTAACAATGACAGAAGATTATAAAGCTCGGAATTATGAACTCTATATTCTTCTATCAAATTTTGACTTTCACGAGTATCATACTTTTATTATTAATAATTAATTTAAGATGTAAAATAATAATAATAATAATAATAATAATAATAAATTAAAACATTAAAAAAATCAATAAGGGAGGATACAGTAATATCACGAGGATCATTAGAAATACGAGAACCTTGGTCGATAAAAGAACTGATATTGATCAAATGGACAGATAAATGAACAGCCTCATAACGAAGTTCCAAGCAAATATCATTCTAAAGAAATTAAAAAAAGAAATCCCATAAATATAAGATATATTTAAAAATAGAAATATAGAATATCATAACATACCTTTAACCAATTTCGAACAAGCTCAAAAATAAAGACCCAATAGAATAAACTAAGTTCTTTTAAAGAAGGCATCATAAAATTGAGAAGTTTCGCAATAGCAACTTGAATATGAATAAAGTTTGACGCCATCCATGGTTCAGATCCAGTAGTATCATGCCAACGTTGAATGCTTTCTAATAAATCCAAGAATCGAATTGGTGGCAATAAAATATTGCCATCTTTTGTGATTGTTGCATTCAATAAACAAATATATGGCCATCCTGCAAAATTTCATCAATTCAGTAAAAAAGAAAATAAATTCAAAAGAATAAAAAAAAAACCATTAATTATTATTATAAGTACCTTTATTATCTTTTAAGGTGAATATTTGAGATGATTCCAAATTGCAAATATTCTTGATCAATTTATTTTGAAAATCTTTAAAATTTTCAGAGGTTTCGACAAATGGTCTTAATGACAAAATGAATGCAATTCTTGTGGTCAAATTGACTAAATAATTACAATAATTCAAAGTTCATTAAAATAACCTGAGTAAGCAATTTAATTAAATTAGAAAATGAAATTTTGAACAACTTACGTGAATATGATTCAGAAGTGACGACATCAAAAAATTCCTCAGCACATTTTGGAGAAATATCAGAATATTCAAATACTTTTGAACATAAAATATGTAAAACTCTTGTCCAATATGAATGATTACCATTTGCTCTTCTTACCGCAGCTTCAATTAAACCTGATAAATTATCTATTTGATCATAATCTTCATCCTTCTCCTCATTATTATTATTATTATTATTGTCAGTATTCTCAGTAATTAATCTGGTAATTAAAGATTTAAAATCCAATAATGATTCATTTTGCAAATTATTTTGTAAATTGTAGGTTGTATAATTTCCAAGAATTATATGAACTTCTTCCAAAAATTCTCTAAATCCTTGATAACCACTTTCGACTACATGACTAACATCCCAAAGATGATGATCACTTCTACGAGATCGATAGTTATCAGAACATATAACATACATTAATAACAATTCCAAAAGAATCCAATGACAATTAGAAGGTAATTCTTTATTTTCATTCTTTACATAAAAGAATATATCAATTCCAAATCTGTTGATAAGTTCTATTATAAATAATCCAAGTCGTCCATAAACACTAAGATCATAAATATCATAAGCAATTGTGGATGTGACCATTTTATCAATTGATGGTTGCTTATTATTATTATTATTATTATTATTTTCAACAATATTTTCAGCAATAATTGGTAATATCATTGAATCAATACAACTGAAAGATGAATCAATTGGTACAGAAATAAAGGGTTCACAAAGTTCGTGCCACTTTTTTTCGTCTGGAAGTAGCTTAACTATGACTTCATGCACTTTCGCATTATCACCCTCATGAAATTTGGAACATAATTTAGTGACCCGTAATGCAAAATCTGTAGGACTGTAAAGTAATAAAAGAGAAATTGAGAAATTGAGAAATTAAATTGGTTACATATAAAATCATTAAATTACATTAAATTACATTAAATTACATTAAATTATATTAAATTGGAATATTACCTTGCAATAAAATGAATATCAAGCAACGAGGATTTAATTTGATGAATTATGTTATTAATTATAACCTCTTTTCGAGAATGAGAATTACTAGCATCAGTAATTTGATTCCAACAAATTTGAGAATATTCTTGAATATTTTTAGTAACATCTTGATCCAAATATTCATGAGTTTTCATAAAAGTTAATTCAAATATATGCCAGATTGCAAAAATTAAATCAGAGTCCAAAAAGAATTCCGTAAATTCTTCATATTTGAATAATTTCGAGAACATCTGCAATATCGAAAAAACAATGTCTTTCGATATTGTGGAAGTTTCATCAAAATCGAACTCAAGCGCACATGCAGATATCGCTTTCATTAATATATTAATAATCTCAATCTTGGTTTGTGATTTCAATATATGCACTAAATAATAAGTGCATTTTTTTAAAAAATAATTTTTAGCATATGAATTCTTTTTTTTTCCTTGCAACTTAAAGAATAAATGAAGTATAAACGTATCATGAATAATTAACCTTTTGATAAAAGAGCTCTTTCTAAAAGATTTTCAACCTTAGTTCTAAGATCAAATTCCAATTCTTGATATAACATCTTGTTGGTCAAATCAATCAATAATTTATTTAGATTATTATCGTCGAAAGAACATTTGATGTCAAAGTTAGAAACCTATAAAACAAAAGTTTAATAAAATTTCATGTAATAATAAACATTTGTTAAATTTTCCTAAACTTTCATAGATCTTAAAAATCATCTGACTTACTTTATAAATTAATAAAGATAAAATATCAATTTTTGTTTCCAAATCATTAATTTTTATTATGACATTCACAAGGTTAATCCATAATTGAATTGCATCAGATGATTCTTGAATATAAAACAGGTAAAATGAAAATAATTCAAACAAATAATCTAAGCATGTTGTAGGAATAGTCGAAATATTTTCTAATAATGTTATATTAAGGAACTTTTTAAGTTCCTTTTTTACATATATATATATGAAAATAAATTAATAATATTAATAATAAGTTAAAAAAAATTACAAGAACACTTAAAAATCAATTACAAACGATTACAAGAATTTACCTCATTAGTATCCTTTTTTAATAGAACCACGAACGAGAAATCTCTTGCTATATTTGATAGTAAAAGACTTAATCCCACAGAACAACCTTTCAATAAAATAAAATATGAAAAGTAATAAATTAAATAAATTCAATAACTTATTAAAATACATATAGAATAAAAATAAATATTCTATCAAATAAATATTTTATTAAGTAAATAATTTATACCATATTCTTTGCATTGGGACAAAACATTTTGAAATATGTTCTCAACGAGAGGACTAACCTAAGATACATATATATTTATATATAACCAAAGATTAGTTCATAATTATTCTTATTATTATTATAAATAATTATTAATTTGGAAAATATTTTACAAAATTATCAGCCACGTTATTTTCGTCCTTATATTCATTATTGATAGTTGAATTTATGTAAAACAATAAATCCATTAACTTCTGACAAAATTCTTTAAAATCATTCTCTTTATCTTCTTTAGAGTCGGAATTTGGAATAATTCCACTTTTAATTATGCCGACTATAAAATCTCTTAGTTTTTGGATAAATCTATCTGATATATCTTTTTTTTTTTTAATCATTAAATAAAATAGAAAAGTATTAATAAATTTATAAATTTAATAATAAATCTTAAATAAAACAAATGAAATTTATAACCTTTATTTGGGAATTTCAAAACAAATCGAGAAATTTCTCGCCCCAAGCAAAAACGCATTTGATCTGTACGAAAACTTGCGGAGGACTATAATATGAACAAATAAATATAAATAATCAGGAAAGAAATATATCTGATTGTTTCTTTTAAATAAAATACCTTAAAATCCACTAAATACATTTCTATTAATTTGAAAAACTTATTTTCTATCAAATCTATTTGTTTCTGTTTTTCATCATCAGAATTTCTAAAAAAAAAAGAAAAATATGAATAAATATATATATATTTCTTTAAAAAATGGTGATATTAATTATTATTTTTTTTTTAAAACAAAAAGCTTACTCCAATTTGAAAATATAATACATTAAACATTCAATGTAAGCTTGTAAGAATACTCCAGAATTAGATCGATCAATAACAGGATTTGACAAGCCTTTCCAAAAATTTGAAAAAAATTCATCATAGAATTTGGGATCGGAATCAATGAGCTAAGAATAAAAATTATTTCACAAAATTTTGAAACAAAACTGATCATAATAATAATTTAAATTATTCAAAATTTATTTAAATATATATTCTCATAAAAATATTCTTTATTACCTCTTGAGGTAAATTACTTATTAAAGGTAAAATGCATGGATAGGAAATAGTTACAGTTCCATGACAAGCACATCGAAGAAAATTAAATAATTTTGGAAGCATAGCTTTCCTTTTGCTAGCTAATAACCATGATTTAGGGAAATCTTTTAATTTTAAAATTTTTTCAAATAAATAAATAAAAATAAATAAAATAAATATAATCATAAATAAATCAAAAAATAATTAAATTTTTAATTCACTTACATTTAGTAAAGACTAATAAAGAATTCCATAATTCTTCATATACTGATTTATCTTTGTCATTTAGTACAGACATCAAATATATTGTAGTCAACATTTCTAAATGATCTTCTACCATTTCTATTTATGTATTATTAAAAAAAGTTTTAATGATAAAAACCTATTTCAATAAAATATTACATTTTTTTTTTTTTTTTTAAAAAAAAAAAAAGAAAGAAAATTTCTAAATTGTACTTGGCCATTTATTCGTCAAAACTTTTATTAGATTATAACAAGATTTACGGACAAGTGCACTTTGATCAGTTAAGTTTGACCAAAATTTAGCATTACACAAAAGACCATTATATTGTTGAACTACTTTTGATAACGAATCTTCGGGTATTTGATCTAAATATAATAAATAATTTAAAATAATTGATTATGATGATTATTATTAATTGAAATAAGGTATAAAATATTTAAATTTGAATTTCGAAAATAAATATAAAAAATGAATAAATACCAATCAAATGTGCAAGAGCATAATATGAACTTGTAACAACTCTAGAATATTTAGAAATCATGTCCTCTTTTGATATAAACCTCGGATCACCTTAATAAAAATATTATCTATTAATCCTTCTATTTAATGCTAGTAAACCATCATCACCATTATTATTATTATTTATTATTATTATTTATTATTATTTGACATACTTAATGTCTCTGGTGTTTTATTGATTATTATTTCAAATATAGTTGATAATATTTCCGTTTGTCCGAATATTAAAACTTCAATATGTTTTTCAGTATTAAAGGCGGCCTATACTTCAAATATATGTAATTCTTTTTTAATTATCATTATGTTATTAATTAATTAATTAATTAATAAACAATGAAATGATAAAAAAATAAAAAATAAAAACCTGAAATGATTCTTTAGCTATCTTGGAAACATCTTTACTTTGATCAAATAAAGAAATTATCCAAATACCAATAATTTCTTTAAGATATGGTGCGATTTTTTTTTTAATTTTGGATACAATTAATAAGTGACAACTAAATGTAGAGAAACGTATTCTTCTATCAACATCAATTGCCAATTTAACAAAAAATTTGGCCTAAAAATATATATATATATTTTTTTTTGAATTTGATTTTTAAATTAGTTCTTTAAATTAGATCAATTAATTATTTCTTTATGTAAATTACCCAATTTCCCGTCACATTAACTAAATAATTATCTTCGTCTTTATTCTTCAAATATGTCTCGAGATCTTCTAAAGCTTTTAGTTTAGTTATAGGATCTCGTTTTGATAATCTTTTCAAAATAAGTACTAATTCTGAATCTAAATTCGACCCTCCAGTATTATCTACTATATCAGTTGATGCGGAATTTAAAGTTGAAAAAGGTGATTCACCCAATAATTGAGCAAAACTTCCAGTTTGAATTTGAGTTCCGCTTGCTGCGATAATTTCCGCAGCTCGGCTAAAAAAACAATAAAAACGTATATATTATTTAAAGAAATATGTTTCAGAAAACAAATCAAACATCAACCTACCTACTACTAGCGGGCTGAACATTTCCCTTAACACGTTGCTTATTTTTTGTTTTCCCCATTTTTTAAAAAATCAAAAAAAAAAAAACGAATTTAATGAGAATTCGGAATTTCGGAATTGTATTTCTCGTAAAAAGATATAATCTTTATATTTTAATATTTGTCACATGATAATTGAATTTTTCCATATATATAATATATTATATAATATATTTGAAAATATGTACGCGATATTTAATTACTTTAATAATAATGATCAGCAAAGAAATTCTTTATGAATTCTACAATTAATTCCAAATGTTAAGAATATGTGAAATCAATTTTTATTATCATAAAATTTTAATTTGAAAAAAAAGTAACGCGAAAATAAATTTTATTCTAACAATGTTCTTCGCAAATGCATTGTATCAATAAGATCTCCCCAACGAAAAGTTTGTTCACAATCCGGGCATTTACCACTAATTGGTAAAAGTGGTTCATCATTAGGCAAATAGTTTTTTTCACTCTTTTCTTGTGCAAGGAATAAATTAGCTAGACATAGAATATGTGACGTGCACATGCACGACGTCGATAAACACGTCAAATAAGTTTGGTGGTTCTAAAATTAAAAAAAAAAATAAAATAAATTTCGAATAAAAATCTTTCAATAAAAACGATAAAAAACGAATACCTTAATATTGATTATTTCACCACATAAATTACAATTTGGATTTTTTTGCTTTATCTTTTCAAATTTATTAAATTGACTGGCGTATCTCAAATCTTTTAATTAATTAATTGATTAATTTAATTAATATTTTAGAATATTTTAAGAAAGTCAATTCATTTGTCATTTATTTACCTTTGGGAATTCCATTTATGTCCGCAAATGAATACATATTTCCTGTTTCGGATAAATAAGTATCAAAAGAACCTTGAGTGATTCGAAAGTTCTTTGGTAAATTTGATAATTTCAATATTGAAGATTTATTCGAGATCTTATCAAGTTCATCCAAAGAAATCATGACGTGTAAATGTAATGGCCATCTACAATAAGATTTTGAAAAAAGTAAATCACCCAAGACACGTAATTTGGTTTCGATCTTGTTGTCACCTTTTCGATAAGAGTAAGAATCAATATGTCGAGTTCTGTATGGGTTTTGCCAGGCCCATTCAAACTAAATTAAAAAAAAAAAAAAACAATATATATATAAAAATATAAAAATTTTAATCGTTTTTTTTATAATAATATAAAAGATGATATTTAAAAAAACAAAAAGATCTAAACCTGAAATGCAGCTATTTTACTAGGAAATCCATATACGAGCAACACAAATTCCCTTGTTATAAAAAAAGATATGAAAAATAAATTAGTGAATTGTGCATAACGAATGAAAAAAAAATAATATAAATATTTACCATGGTCGTTTGGATTCGGTTTTTTTTGCACCTGCAGCCAATTCCCCATTATGCATTCTTAAACGTTTTTGTGGATTAGGTGTTGTTCCTAAAAAAAGAATAAAAAAAAATAAAAATAAATAAATAAATAAGAATAAATTAATAAAGAAAAAAAATTAGCAAGAATAAAATACTTTAACTGATATTAAAATATATTTATAAATATAAGTACTTTACCAATGTAAGCACTATTTTTATATTTTGGAATTGCAGACCTGAGAAGATAAACAACATCTAGTTCATATCTCTTATTTAAAACGTAGTCGGAGGTTTCTTTCGAATTAGACATTTCTTAGTTTTAACGAAGTTTAAAAAGAATAAAAAGAATTTTATGTTGAAAAAAAAAAATGTTATGAATTCAATTAAACTTTGGTGAATTATAATAAAAATTCTAAATAAATAAATATATATAAATATGTACTCAATATTTGATCTTTGAAATTTTTATATAGATATTTGTTATATTTTATTGACATGGATTATTGATAACGGGTAAATTCAATAAATTCACATTTTATTATATTAGTATAAAGAATAAAAGAATAAATTAAATAAGTGTATTGATTTTTACGTTGAAAAATTTTATATGGTTTCTATAGTTTATATATGATTACAAGCCAAGAGAATGAATAAAGTGATTTTACTTAATATTAAGAAAAAAGAACACGTAAAAAAAAGTTATCATGACGATCATAAACAAATATCAAATTGATGATTCACTAAAATTTTTTATCGATATATATAAAATATTGTTTGATAAATAAATATGACTTGATTATTCAATATTTCATTATTAATAGTTTTTAAAAAAAAACTACTTAATTTCGTAGCCTGCGCTGATCAAAATAGTTCGTAGTCCAAAAATATTGCGAAAAGCATTATATCTTTATAAATTGCTTTTGTACGTCAATGTGCATGTATATGGGTTATAATTTGCTTCATTGCTTTTTTTAAATAATTATAAAACTTTAATAAATTATTATCTCTATAAATTTAACGATAAATTGTACTTGATTAAATTACTAATTAACTAATTAATTATTAGGAAAAATTTATTAATTTATTCGCTCTAAATGTAAATAAACACTATCAAATAATCTAATACAAAATGTAAAAATTATTTCAATAAAAAAATAAATTAGCAATTATATAATGAAATTTTTTTTTTTTAAAAAAAAAAACCAAAATAAATTATCAATTTTTAATCATATCATAAAAGAATCGAACCCTAATTTAAATAATTCAAGTAGATTTTATACTATTTAAATTTTTGTTACTATTTAGATTTTGTACTTTTCAATTAAACAACACTTTAATACATCAACATTAATGATAAAGTAATTAACTTTTTTTTTTAAATATTTCATTAAGTTGTATATTAACGTATTCATCACCAAATGGAACTTTTCTTGAGATTCTTAAGTCATTCCACCACCTAATTCCTTTTCTAATTCATCCACTTCCATGTCTGTGTCAGGAACAGCTGCATGTTGACTAGCTGCACCATATTCGTAAATGGAATTACGATTACTTTGTTGTTGACGTTGAGTTATTGCTTCACGTTCGGGAGCCGATAAACTATGACAAAAATATTCAAAATATATTCGCGATCAAAATATTCGTAAACAAATTTCCGTAACGTTGATTAATAAAGGAAAAATCTTATAATAAATAACCTTGGTTTACGACCTAATTGCCCACCATTTAATCCTCCTAATGCTGCTTGTTTGGAAGCTTTGAAAGACATCACTTCTTGGGCAATCATCTCTGATATATTTGAAAAAAAAAATTGAAGGAAGATTTCTATATAATAAAATGGACTTCTGGTATAAAAAAATAATGTTATATGACTTACTCTTCATTTCATCTATTAAATCGACACTCTCAAATGAAAAATCAAACATATTTTCATGAGAAGGCTTTAAATTATCAATAAAATCTGAAAGAAATTAATATTATTATTATTCGATAAAAAAGAATTATCACAATCTTAAAAATACTGACTTCATCTTCTTCGTCATGATATGCTGCCAAATACGGGTGCATCAATGATTGTTCTACAGTAATCCTTGCAGCAGGATCGAATTTAAGAAGATTCTCCAGTAAATCAAGAGCTATAAAAAATGAATGTTAATTTGATAAGAAAATAAAGTAAATAGAATAGTAATGTAATTTTAAAATAAATATTTACCAAGTGGATTGGCCTTGGGATAAAGTTGTGAAAAAGGAATTTTTGGCATTTTTGGAAGACTACGAATGTAAACCTGAGCCTGATTATTTTAACAATTATTTTAATAATTATTTTAATAATTATTTTAGTTAATTATTTAATAATTATTTTAGTAATTATTTTAGTAATTATTTGATCATTATTTAATATAAAACTAAATAGAATTTGTAAATCTTTAGTTGGTGAAAATAAAATATAGATTAACATATATTTTATTTCTTTTTATAAATATCCATTTACCCTCTCACTTCCAACCCTCCTCAAAGTCTCTTCATCCGGCGTACCCAAAATTCCTAATATTTGATTAAGTTGATCGACGTAATCCCTTCCTTTAAATAAAGGTTTTCCACCTAGCATTTCAGCAAAGATACATCCAACAGACCACATGTCAACTTTTTTTTTTTTTTTAAAAAAAAAAAAAAAAAAAAAAAAAAAAAGAATATTTTAAAATTCAATCAAATATTAAAAAAATATTGTAAAAAATAATTTAATGTGAAAAAAAAAGATTATAAAAAAATTATTAAAATTTATAATATAAAACATACTAGCTTTAGTATAATTCTGAAAACTCAACATGATTTCTGGTGCCCTGTACCATCGGGTTGCAACATATTCTGTCATAAAACCAGCATTATGATCTGGTGAATCAGAAAAACCTCGGGCAAGTCCAAAGTCACAAATCTAATATAAAAATACAACCCAAATTCTTTAATTATTATTATTATAAAATTAGTCAATTTTAATTAATCAATATTTACCTTCAATTCACAATCTGCATTTACTAATAAATTCCCTAAGAAATAATTAAATAATTATAAAAATTAAAAATTATTTAAGATGAAAAAAATAAAACCCCAATTTTCTAATATTAATACCTGGTTTTAAATCTCGGTGTAAAACATTGGCTGAATGAATATATTTTAATCCTCGACAAATTTGATATATGAAATATTGAAAATGTGCATCGGTTAATGGTTGTTCGGAACGTATGATTTGATGAAGGTCAGCCTCCATGAGTTCTTGGAACAAATAACTGTGTGTTCAATATAGAAAATCGTATTATTAATAAAGGTTAATATTTATTGTTTAATATAGTTTAATAAAAGTTTAATGAAGTTAAATATAGATTATATAATTTTAATATAAATTCTTTTAATTATACGTTACATTTCGTTAAAATCTTGAACATTTGTTATGTCCATATCTAAAAGAGATGTGATCTATCCCCATTCGACAAAGTAAATCAAAAAGTCAGCACACATCAAGAAACCAGTTTTCGTTACGAAACTATAAATTTGTGAATTGCAAAGATTTAATTCCCAAAAACCTTGTATAAAATAAAAAACTGACGTTTTCATGGCCATTGAAATGTTTCAATAGTTTCACCTCTCGTAAAGCGCGTTTAGCCAGAATATTTTTTTCAAAAACTTTTGTGATTTTTTTGATAGCAACTTGTTCCCCGTTTTCTTTATTTCTGGCCGCACTATAAATTGTTTTAGGAAAAGAAGGATATTCAAGAAATTCAAAAATTTTCGAAATAAAAAATAACGGAGAATTAAAACGTGTCAAGTAAAGTACATGTGCTCATTTCAAGAAGTAAAAAAAAAAAAAAAGAAGGCATACCATACAACTCCATAAGCTCCTTGTCCTAGTTCGCGTACGAATTCGTAACTAGAATCTACAAGGAACTGTTGGTTTAGCACTGGAAAAGCGTGATATTGCATTCTTTTGGAGAGAGTATGTTTTAAAAGAGAACTCCCATAGAATAACATCGCACATCTATCCTTTTTCTATGTAATAAAGCTAATTCTAATTGGATGATGTCACTACGCCATTTTTCCCATTTTCTATTGTGACACATTTCGGAAAATAAAATAAAATCAGAAATGCGTTATTGCATACAATCATGTCGAAATTAAAATTTAATGATATGTCGCACGAAGTTTGATATCATTTTCAAACAGAAATTTTTGCCATAAAGAGAAATAAAAATACATTCTCTCATTAGAATTTCTCAAAAAAAAAAATAATTATAAAATATTTCATTTTGAAAATGCGGTCATAATTTAAAATAGTAAAACCAGTTTTTTTTTTCATCGAATGATTTTTTTTAAACGTTTCTGTCCCAATTTATTTAAAATTCACTCTTAATAATGTTTATTGCTTCTTTTTATTAATTGCTTTTTTCAAATTACATATTTCTATTATTAATCAATTCATTGAATTTTTTAATAAAGATTTTTCTGCCCCAATTGTATTTACCATCCATTCTTAATAATGTTTATTGCTTCTAAAGAGAATGTTTTTATCAATTGCTTTTTAATAAAAATATTTATAAATAATAATTTCTATTTGGATAAATATTACATACCCTTTTCCTTATAACCAATTACATTTGTATTATTTTTAGTCCAGGAATAAATCTATAAAATTATAGAAAAATGTTAGAAAATCAAAAAAAATTTCAAACAAACTATTTTATTTAAATAAATATTACCTTTTCTTGACCTAAATTCACTTTTTTTAAATAAAATTTTATAGTATCATATTTATATTATAAGTAGTTTTACCTTCCATCTGTCCCTGAATATCCGAAATTTACTTTTTTTAAATATAAGATTAATACGCACAACTTGATTAATTTGCGAAAATGCGGCGTTAGACGACGAATTAAATATTTTCGCCTAAATGCATATAAAACGGATAATAAAAATGGACAGCGTAAATGGGTGTAACATTAATTTTATTAATACCAGAATGTTTCTTTCATCAATTTAGTATCATATGAAAATTTCAGTAAGCAAAACTCAAATAATATCAATGAGGACGAGATGAAATGCAACATAAAATATTTGTTCATCATTATCAACTAGAGTGTGCAGACAGACAAAATATAATTATTAAACTCATCTTATTTATAATTCATAATATGTTATTATGGTATAATATTTTTCTGAAACTGGTTTTTTTATATAAAAGTTTGATTATGATATCTTCTTACTAATATTTAATAATCCAAATTCAAATTATCTAAAATTAACGCCAATCGATTTTATAAAATAAAGATTTTATTCACAGATTTTTATATTAAAAGAATATTTACCTAAATTTATATCTATTTTTATAATTTCGCTAGTAATATATTATTTAATAGAAGTAAAATATATCTTTTCTAAGGAAAAAAAAGTAGTCTCGAACATATATTGATAAATGTCAAAAATTTGATAGCATCTACTAATTTGTTTTTGTTTTATAGTCTTTGTGATTGATTGAGACCGACCGAGAGCTACTCTTTAATTTCTTCAATCATTTTCGTGACCGTGAGTTGTAGATCAAGTACCTTGTTTTCTTGTTGAAGTTTGTGGACGCGATTTTCCAAAATAACCTGTTTGGCCTGTTTTTTAAAGATGCCTGCCATAATTATTTCATAAGTTGCAATTGTAGCAACTCAATGACTAATTGCAACTATTTTCGTAATGCCGTAATATCTTTTTTGACTCCAGCCTTTATTTACACGATTTTCTTCTAAGGTATTTTTATGACAAATCTAAAGCCCTTGTTCTTGGCTACAAGATAATATATTTTATTTCTGTAGCATCAATATTTGCGTTTAAAGTCAACCGATTGTGAAATTTCCGTCATAAATTTCAAACGTATAAATCATGTGATTTATACATAAGATTACGCAAAAAAATTCAGTTTTTTGAATTCAGCCGTGATTAATGCGACAGAGAGCAATTTTTTACTAAGGTATTTCTATGATAGATCAAAAGCCCTAGTTCTTGGCTACAAGATAACATGTGCTTTATTCAATTAGCATCGATATTTACGGAGATCTTCACATTTAAACTCGAACATCCGTGAAAATTCTTCCATAAATTTTCCGTAATTCTGGCCAGAATTATGAAAAATTATGGAAAATTTATGACGGAAAATTTTCACGGACGTTTGATTTAAACGCGAATATCGCTACTGGGATGAACATATATCATTTTTGTGACCAAGAACAAGGTCTTTCTTTTTATTTTAGAAATACCATAGTAGAAAGCGCTCTCTATCGCGTAAATCAGGTCTGAAGTCAAAAAAAAAGGAATTTTTATGCGTTATCTTATGTATAAATCACATGATTTATACGTTTGAAAATTTATGGTTATTTTTTTGAGGGTATACAGATAAACTGTACGGTACGAAACGCTATTTTGTACTGTACGAATAATGACTTGTACGATTTATTTGTGGCTTGTTCGGTTGATTAACTAATATCACGTGATATTTTCATTAATTTTAACCGTGGGGAATTTTATCTTGGGTGATATATAATTGTGACGAATAATATTTTAGATCCAAAAAAATTCTAAGTCCCTAAACAAATATAATAAAAATTGAATGTTAGGGTGTGTTGAGAAAAAGTAACACCCCTAATTGATTTGCATGTGACACAAACCCTAACCCCTGTTTTGATATAAATAGATAATAATATATATTACAGGGGTTGGATTTATATTTAGTACTATTTGGCTTTTTAATATAAAAATACTTGTACTGTACAGTTTTTTAACATAAAAAAGTTTATAAAGTACAATTAGATTTTTATAATATATATATTATTGTATACAGTTTATTATTATACCTTTTTTTTGAGAATATACATATAAATTATATTATACAAAATATTATTTTGTACTGTAAGATATGTGACTTGTACAATTTATTTGTAACTTATATAGTTGATTAACTAAGGTATAACAATAAACTGTACAGTACGAAATACTATTTTGTACTATACAATTTTATATAAATTTTTGTACAAAATTTGTACAATAATATATATATTATAAAATATAATTATATTATAAGAACTTTTTTATGTTAAAAAATTGTACAGTACAAGTATTTTTATATTAAAAAGCTGAACAGTACTAAATATAAATCCAACCCCTATAATATATATTATTATCTATTTATGTCAAAATTAGAGGTTAGGGTTTGTGTTACATGCAAATCAATTAAGGGTGTTACTTTTTATTATTACCACCTCAATATACCATAACATTTAATTTTTATTATATTTTTTTAAGAACTTAGAATTTTTTGAGTTTAAAATATTATTTGTTACATTTATATATCACCCAAATAAAATTTTTCATAATTAAAAATATCACATTATATTAGTTAATCAACTATACAAGTAGTATGTTTTATACCTGCCACCCAAATTCAAAATCCAAATGCCGAAATCCCAAATGCCAAAATCCCAAATCCCAAATCCCAAATTATGATTAGTATTTTTTGCCAAAATCCCAAATCCCAAATCCCAAATACTAGTAATTTGGAATTTTGGCGTCCCAAATCCCAAATGATTTGGAATTTGGGCAACACATATAGTATATTTATGAGAGAGTTGGGACAAGATCCCTATTCGCAAATATATAGTATTTTACTTTTTTCACCACACAGCAAGCTTTTTTCTTATACCAATTTTTATATCATTTTACTTAATTTTTTTTGAGCCACACTCGAATGACGTGTGATTTTTTTTTTTGGCCACATCTTCATATTACTACTCTGTTTGCTATAAAAAAAGGAGCAGGAAGCTAAAAGACAAATGTCCTGAAGTTGAGTGTGACATGCATTAGCAACCCTAAATTTAATATTATTTTCTTTACTATTCTAATTCTCTTCTAAACTTTATTTAGTCTTCTGTTACTGTGAAACATAAATCCCAAAGGGTAAATGTGAAACAGTTACGGAGCGAAGTAGAGTATAGTTGACATATTAGCTTTCAAAATTGTTATCAATATAAAATAGCTATATAAAAAAGTCATCAAAATTTTTATCAATATAAATAAGTTTAACCTCTAATAAAAGATTTTTAGTTATTTTGCGCTTCTTTTAGAATGTCTAATTTTTACTATCTCTCTTAACGTTCAAATCAATTATTCTTATCATAAAGAATATCAAAAAATATCAAAAAGTTAGGACAAAGTCTAACCTCATTATATATATATATATCGAAAAAAAAGTTGGAACAAATTCTAACCTCAATTTATATATCATTTTACTTTTCCGTCATCACTAGAAGCTTTCTTCTTATATCAAAAAGTTAGGCCAAAACTCTAACCTCATTATATATATCGAAAAAAAGTTGGGACAAGCTCTAACCTCATATCTAGAATCGATTATTTTATATCTCCGGATTCTATTCCAACATACTTTATATATATATATATATCGAAAAAAAGTTGGGACAAAGTCTAACCTCAATATATATCGATATATCGAAAAAAAAATTGAGACAAGCTCTAATCTCATATCTTGAATCGATTATTTTATATCCCAAATTCTATTCCAATATACTTTATGTATAAAATCTAATCTCAATATACATATATATCAAAAAAAGTTGGGACAAAGTCTATCATCATAGCTAGAATCTAATTTTGAAAACCCACCATACAATCTACTATAGTAGTGGATCACATAATACCTTTTAGGATATAGTGAAATAATTATTTAAACAAAAGATTTTATATAAGTAATATATTATAAATCAATTAT